ACTCTGAGGTCCGCCTGCGACTCTTGCGGAGTAGTCTGGCCATGTGAGCTTTCAGTTCCTAACGCTGATTTTGTACTAGCATTAGCAGAACGCGAGGAAGCGCCTGATAAATCGGGTTCCCGTAAACTCTGTCCCTGTCTAAATGCCGTAGCTTCGGGTATGTACTGAGCAGCGCTGCTGGACTGGCTTTTGCCTGCGCCAGATTGCGGCGAACTGTCCGATAAATCAGAATCACGAACCGTTTCGCCATCTTGTCTTCTGAAAAGGGTACAACCAGGTGAAGGACTGTTTCTGGCCATTTCGTTATCGATAACTGCTGCTGATTCGGGTACGGGCGTCGCTTGTTGAGTATTCAAATCTTCATCCGTCTTCGTACTAATAATGCTGCTATCACGTTTTATTTCACTTCCTCGTTTGCCAGCTTTTTTCTTGCTTTTGCGAGCATCTTGTTTTTCAACACGCTCCTCTTTTTGTTTGCCCTGTTTAGCTCCTATATTACTCGCAATGTCACTTCCTTTGACCGGATTGCTCATGGAAGTTGATGAACGTTTGGTTTCATGAAGAGATTCTCTGTTACTGCTGTCGCTGGGAGACGCGTTCAGTTTGCTCGACTTCTTTTTGATATGAGAATTGTCGTTACGGAAATCTTCTTGATCTTGATTTACGTTTTTCGCTGGCGGCAATTCTGATTTCTGTCCAGAATTCTTTCCTTCCCGTTTTCGACTTCGCTTTTCATCTTTGGGCTTCGCAGTTTCTTGAAGATTTTCGGTCGATGTCGATTTAGGTGTTGTACTCTCGTATACCATCTTGTGCATGTTTAACTCATCATCCGATGTCTTCCCAACCTCAGTTGCATTGACTACCTTGCCGCCAGTACCAGACGCGTCAAGCTTGCCAATAAAAGATCCACCATTTTTTTGCGACAGTTCTTTCGACTTTCGTTGATGCCCTCCACGAGATTTAGTCACTGACTTGTCTTGTGGTTTCGCGGGATGCGGCGAAAGAGGTTCTGCTGTGGCTTGCGGATTATCTGCTCCTGATAGCTGTGCCATTAAATTCTGAATTTCAGCAAATCTTTCATCAACCCATGACATCCGATCACGGATACCAGCTTTAGGTTTTTTGTTGTCTGTAATTGTTTCGTTGACTTCCATGCTCATACGGGGACGATCGTTATAAATATCTCCATTTCCGTTTGTCTTTGTACGTAGAGAGCCATCTGATGCTTATTGAGTTCAGACATGTCAGTATACCTGTGAACGATGAGATTTTCCGAAACGTACTCAGTACATATCTTACCAGTATGTGGGTATATGGAATCTTCTTCGTTAACGTCTTCATCAACTTTAACGGTTTCGTCAACCATTTCGTCTTCGTCTTCTTCGTCTTCTTCATCCTCTTCATCTTCATCTTCATCTTCTACTTCGTTCTTTTCGCCTTCAATTTCAACTTCATGTTCTTCGACTTCGACTTCATGCTCTTGGATTTCAACTTCATCTTCTTCGGCTTCATGTTCTTCGACTTCATCCTCTTCATCTTCATCTTCTACTTCGTTCTTTTCGCCTTCAATTTCAACTTCATGTTCTTCGACTTCGACTTCATGTCCTTCGATTTCAACTTCATCCGAATCATCTTCATCTTCTAATTCGTTCTTTTCGCCTTCAATTTCAACTTCACTTTCTTCGACTTCGACTTCATGTTCTTCGATTTCAACTTCGTCCGAATCATCTTCATCTTCCAATTCGTTCTTTTCGCTTTCAATTTCAACTTCACTTTCTTCGACTTCGACTTCATGTTCTTCGATTTCAACTTCATCCGAATCATCTTCAACTTTATCTTCTTCGACTACATTTTCAACTTCATGTTCTTCGACTTCAACTTCTTCATTTCCGGCTTTGTCTTCTTCGACTTCAACTTCTTCATTTCCGACTTCGTCTTCTTCGATTTCATCTTCTTCGATTTCATCTTCTTCGACTTCATCTTCTTCGACTTCGTCTTCTTCATCTTCAACTTTCATTATCGATTGAACAAGTCAGAAAACCTTTAAAATCTTTAGACTTCATTGCTGATTTCAAATTCATTACCTGGGTCTGCGTGTGGAGAATTTCGTTCGATTGTTTCCTGGTCGCCTACTGTACAAACAAATTAGACACGCGTAATCTATCAAAGTCGGCGACAAAAATGGTTTTTTAGCGACCTACCTAAATTTACACGTGGACCATCATCATCCGCTGTTTCCTGATTGTCTAACGAATCAGACATGTCTTCATGGGCAAGCAAATCTTCTAACGAATCTTTTATCGAATTATCGGACGTGTGTTCATACGCAAGCAGATCTTCGTCGCTAGAACTATACTCTTCGGTCGTACTTGCATTTACATGTTGGAAATTTTCGTCGTCATCGTCCACTAATTCCTGTGGTTCCGACAAGTCAGACACGTGTGGAAAGACGTAGCTCTCTTGCTGCATGTGACTCTCTCCTTCACTGAAACTATCCTCCTGAACCCTGTGTGTATTTACATGTGGAGAATCGTCGTCTTCTTCATCTGTTGATGATTCCAGCGGTTCTGATGAGTCGGACTCATGTGAGACGTAGTCGTTTTGCTGTGTATGAATGTCTTCTTCGCTTGAACTATTATCCTCTTGGGTCCCAGTTGTATTTACGTGTGGAGAATCATCTTCTTCGTCAAGCCCAGACGAGTCGGACAGTTGTACACAATATTTATTTTTAATTGCAGGAACATCATCTTCATCGCTGACACTATTTTCTCGAGCATTTTCATAATGAGAACCATCATCATCGTCGTCAGATATCTCCTGACTATCTGAATCTGTTTGAACATTTTCCACTCCAAAAGTCGGTTGACCCTCGTCGTCACTGCTGAACACAAGCTGTCTGGCTTTCCCCTTATCAGGCTTTGTAATAATAATGTCAAACGACGACGATGTTTCGTCGTCTATTGATTCTTCATCTGAAGACATTTCTTTTTTTTTTCCCGTTCAGAAAAATTTATTTTATTTTTTTTTCCTTAGAAAGAGGAAGGGAAAAAAAAAAGAGAAAGACCAGTACGTGAAATTACAAAGGTCCAATGTCAAAAGTGAATGCAGCGAACAAAGCTTTGTACGCGCGTCCAATTCGGGCATTCGGGGGGTTCACTGCTCCGATCTATGGCTAAAAAATTCCCACGTAAGTGTGTCCCACGATAATGACAGAGATAATCTATGAACCGGGAACTTTATTGAGAGGAAAAAATTCGGGGCATGACCTTGCGCCAA